ACAGTAACTTCACCAGCCATAAAGATGCTGCGTAGGCCCAGGAGAATCAAAGCAATACATTTTCCCCACTTTTTCTAACAAATTACAAAAAACAGAGTTTTCTAACAAACTTGAACAAAAATATTCCTGAGGCATATACATCAAAACAAGTGGTTTTATTTAAAACATGTCCCAGCAAGGAATTTGGAGACCTTAATGTTTTATATGCCATTAACCCAAACTTGCTTTTCTCTGTATAATGAGAACTAAGTAAACACATGGTATAAAAGAAAGAGTACGTATTCACAGCATGTATATGTCTGAGGCACAAAACCATTCTTACAAGCCTTTCTTAGGAGCATAGTGCACCTCTTCAGCAATTAAAAAAAAAAGGGGGGAGGGGAAACAAAACGTAGCAGCAGTTAATACTTACCCGGTCAGGTAGAGGAAACAATCTGTAGCTAGCTGCATTGCCACTTTAGGACTGCAGTTGCTTGTCTCAGCTGGATTGAAAGAGTCACCCCCTCCCACCCTCAAAAGGCATGCTGGGGCAAAATGCCTGGGGGATAGTTACTGAGGACTAGAAAATCACAAAAGAAGGGGCTACTGGAAAAGAGGCTGCTTCTGTGGTTTACATCCCACCCCAACTATATAGTTATGTTAGGGTATGTCTACACTACCCCGCTAGTTCGAACTAGCGGGGGTAATGTAGTCATCCGCAGTTGCAAATGAAGTCCGGATTTGAATTTCCCGGGCTTCATTTGCATGAAGCCGGCCGGTGCCATTTTTAAATGCCGGCTAGTTCAAACCCCGTGCCGCGCGGCTACACGCGGCACGGAGTAGCTAGTTCGGATTAGGCTTCCACGAGGAGTACAGCTAGTTTGGATTAGAAGCCTAATCCGAACTAGCTACATCGTGCCGTGTGTAGCCGCGCGGCACCGGGTTCGAACTAGCTGGCATTTAAAAATGGCGCCGGCCGGCTTCATGCAAAAGAAGCCCGGGAAATTCAAATCCCAGGCTTCATTTGCAACTGCGGATGACTACATTACCCCCGCTAGTTCGAACTAGCGGGGTAGTGTAGACATACCCTTATTTATCACATGATAATCATGGGAAAAAAAACACAACCTAGAAAGACCAAATATTATCCACTCAGGCTACGTCTACACTACAAGATTTTTGTACAAAAACCCATGAAGCATCCACATCTCAAGATCGTTTTCGCAAGAACGTTTTGCTCATTTTTGCGCAAGAAAATCTACAGTCAATCGACAGAACAGAGGGCTTTATGTGATATACGTATACCTCTTGCTACGAGGCATAACTCCGTTTTGTGCTTCAGCTATTGTGCAAAAAGGCATGTGTGGATGCTCCACAGGGGTTTCTTGTGCAAAAAGAGCCTATCCAAAAAATCACAGGTACTCTGATGGCCATTCTGTGAATGGTTATCAGAGTTTTCTTGTGCAAGAGTGTCCATACCATGTGGACGCTCTCTTGTGCAAAAGCTCATCGCAAAAGCAATGTGCTTTGAAGTGTGGATGCACTTTTGCGCAAGAATATTTTGCGGAAGATCTCTTCCGCAAAAGACGTTTTGCTCAAAAAACCTGCAGTGTAGACGTAGCCTCAGAGATGACACTGAAATTCTTAGAGACATTGTTGGACTCTGTGAGTCTAATGGCCACCCCTCCTCACTGCACTGTTTCAGGACCTGTGGTCCTGTAGGAGAATTTGCAACCTATCTAGGAGTTGAGGTTTGTCCCTCCTAGTCAGTCTCCCTGGGCTCCAGGCAGGGCTGCACAATCAGTCATCTGCCCGCTGGTCTCTCGGCCAGGCAAGGCAATAGAGAATTATTCTAGCTTCAAGCAGGGCAGGGTGACTTTCCCTCAGGGCTCTGGTCTTTCAGTCAGATAGAGACAGTTCAATAGCATTTTGGGCTCCCTAGCCTCTCAGCAGGATAGGGAGCTGTGAATGGGCCACCTGGCCTATGGAGAGGGAGAACTGCCATTGGGGTAGCCAAGGGGATGCAGGCCTGCCCAGCTTCACTGTGTCCCAACCCAGACCCCTGTCAGGCACGGCAGTCTGCCACTGGGTCAGTGGGGATCCACATGTAACATGCTGACTTGGACTCAGGCGCACCTAACTCCCCTGCGTCACTTCACTACTCCCGCTCCAGCATACCTGGACTCATGGGTAATCTTCTAGTTCCTCTGGGTAACTGCCAAGGGCATCAACAGGAGCATCCCAGTATCAGCATACTTTGCAGGTTTGGATTGATTTCCCTGTGGCTCTCATCTGGTGATTCTTGCTGCTGGCCACCTCTTTCCAACTGAGCATCTGGCCTTTTATGCTTACCCTTTCTGTCCCACCTTTCCGCTTCCACCCACTGGGGTTGGGGTGTGTCTGTGTATGAGGAGGACCACACCTCACAACAGACTCAAACTGTGATCTCAGTTACACTGAATTCAATGGACTTGCTTTGGATTTTCAGTGATCATAGAATCATAGAACACTAGAACTAAAAGAAACCTCAAGAGATCATCAAGTCCAGTCCCCTGCTCTCACGGTAGGACCAAGCGCTGTCTAGACCATCCCTGACAGATGTCTGTCTAACCTGCTCTTAAATATCTCCAGTGATGGAGATTCCACAACCTCCGTAGGCAATTTATTCTAGAGTTTAACTGCCCTGACAGTTAGTAAGTTTTTCCTAATGTCCAGCCCAAACCTCCCTTGCTGCAATTTAAGCCTATTGCTTCTTGTCCTATCATCAGAGGCCAAGAAGAACAATTTTTCTCCCTCTTGCTTGTAAAGCCCTTTTAGATATTTGAAAACCACTATCATGTCCTCTCTGTCTTCTCTTTTCTAAACTAAACAAGCCCAGTTTTCAGTCTTCCCTCATAGGTCAAGTTTTGTAGATCTTTAATAATTTTTTTGTTGATCTTCTCTGGACCGTCTCCAATTTTTCCACATCTGTCTTGAAATATGGTACCCAGAACTGGACACAGTACTCCAACTGAGGCCTTATCAATCAGCACAGAGTAGAGCAGAAGAATGACTTCTCGTGTCTTGCTCATAACACTCCTGTTAATGCATCCCAGAATCATGTTTGCTTTTTTTTCCCCAACATTGTCACACTGTTGACTTATATTTAACCAACATCAGAATCTAGCCTAAATTCATTCAATCCAATCATTTCTTCTCCCAAGAGCTATTCACTTTTTAGTTGAGTCTTTATAAGATTATTCAGTTTTGGAATCATTTCCATGTGAGTAGGTTTGGTTCTGTGAACCCTATCTCTGACAGTGTAGCACTCTCCAGAAGCCAGCGGAAAGATGCATTGCTTTAATTATGTTGCCTTTAAAACTCTTTTTCTTTCATGTAACTGAAATAAAGTTCAGGGTAATTGGGTACTGTGTACTTGCAGAAGAAGACTTTTGCTGTTATCAAACACCCGTTACTTCACTTTGGCATCTAATGACCAGAAAAGCAGTTTATTGCTCAAATATATCTTCCTCCAACAATACCCTCCTTTAACTGCCAATGCCATCAGAAAGAAAGAAAGAATGAAGGATGTCACCAGAATTAGTGATTTTTGTACTTACAAAGAAGGGGGCAAAATTATTGATGGTTTCTTAAAAAAACCCCTACTTCCTATGAAAAGTGATGTATGTTAAACATAATGGCTATGTCTAGACTGGCATGATTTTCCACAAATGCTTTTAACAGAAAAGTTTTTCCGTTAAAAGCATTTGCGGAAAAGAGCGTCTAGATTGGCACGGACGCTTTTCTGCAAAAGCAATTTTTGCGGAAAAGCGTCCGTGCCAATCTAGACGCTCTTTTCCGCAAATGCTTTTAACGGAAAAACTTTAGAGTTTTTAGTTTTTACACTGGCCCTCTTGTGCAAAAACATTTCCGGAAAAGGGCTTTTGCCCGAACGAGAACGTCAAAGCATTTGCGCAAGAAGCACTGATTTTGGACAGTAGAACGTCAGTGCTTTTGCGCAAAATCAAACGGCCAGTGTAGACAGCTGGCAAAATTTTGCGCAAAAGCAAAAGCTTTTGCGGAAAAACTTGCCAGTCTAGACGCAGCCAATGTGATTAGAAAACCAAATACTTTTGTAATTTCCTGTGCTGACAGGAGCTTAGGCCTGGAAGGGGCTTTCTGTATCTTCAGCTATGTCTATACTGCGGAGCTATTTTGCAGGTATCCCAGAATAGCTATTCTGCGTTTTAAGAGCATACCCATTATATCAAAATATAACAGGCTCGCTATTCCGATGTCCCTCTAAATCTCATTGCACAAGGGTTAAGAGATGCTTTGGAATAGCACTTTATGTCAAAATTACCTCCAAACAAGCTATGCAATTTGCATAGTGCAAACTGTGTAGCTTATTTTGAGCTACTGGTGGGCTGTGTCTAGACTGCATCCCTTTTCCGTAAAAGGGATGCAAATTAGACACATCACAATTGCAAATGAAGCAGGGATTTAAACCCCCCCCGCTTCATTTGCATAAACATGGCTGCCGCTTTTTTCCGGCTCGGAGCTTTGCCGGAAAAAAGTGCCAGTCTAGACGCGGATCTTTCGGAAAATAAAGCCTTTTCCAAAAGATCCCTTATTCCCTATTTTAAGAGGAATAAGGGATCTTTCAGAAAAGGCTTTATGTTCCGAAAGATCCGCGTCTAGACTAGCGCTTTTTTCCGGCAAAGCTCCAAGCCGGAAAAAAGCGGCAGCCATGTTTATACAAATGAAGCGGGGGGGATTTAAATCCCCGCTTCATTTGCAATTGCGATGTGTCTAATTTGCATCCCTTTTACGGAAAAGGGATGCAGTCTAGACACAGCCGTACAGTGTAGATGCACCCTTCAGATCTAGTGCTTTGATTTGGCAGACAATCTTGTCCTAATACTCCCATCCATAACTTATGAAGCTTCCTCTTACAACTAGTTAGGCTGTTTCTCTCTCTAACCCTGTTGGAAGACTGGTCTAGAACTTCACTGATGTGTTTCATGTCCTTTTTTCAATAGATCGTATGGTGACACTTCCTCCTGCTGGATACCTTACCATGGCTAATTCCATAAAGACAATGGGGCTATTAAATAACATACTTCAGAAGGAGCCCCAGTACAGGTATGACAGTCTAACTCTACTGAAATAGAGCTTGCATTAGGACTAATATTCAAGCTGTTTGTTCTCACTTTAAAAGCCAGGATACAATTTATGGAAGCACCCAAATAATTTAGGAGTTGAAATCCCCTTTTAAAGGATGATTTAGGCACTTAGAGTCAGATTTTTAATGGTATTTAGATGCCGCACTTAGTGGGATTTTCAAAAGCTCCTAGGTGACTATTTCCCATTTTTATTTTTTTCTATTGGGTTTTGTTGAACTTTAAGAGGTTTTTTTGTTGCTACAGAATCTAATCTGCTTTTTATCAGGATGAATATGATTGTAGAAAAATAGTTCTAACTAGTATGAAAAGTGAATACAAGCTTTTTAATTAACGACCTAGATTGAGGTAATGGTGTTTTCAGCACTTCTTCCTTACCTTCCAATTTGCTTTGAAGTCCTGCCATCTATTGGCTAATCAGTGCAATAATTTTACATGATGGGGATTGTTTTCCAGCAATGCCAGAAAAGGAAAAAAATGCTACAAAAATGCTACAACATCAGTATTCCCGGAATTTCCAGATGTGTTAAGAGATACAGCCTCTTTCAAATTGCCATATAATTTATTATCCTTTACTATCACCCCGCAGGGTAAGCTGTCTCCCAAAACTACATGAACATTTCAAAATACCATATCTCTGACTAGTAAGAGATTTTACAATTTCACAAAGGATCCACAGATTCAGCATTATTCATTATTAAAATGTACACGTGTTTATTGCTATAAAATAAAGTTTTACATACAAACATGAATGCACAACAGTCACTTACTTAAACCTGCAATAACATATGATCAATTCATTCCATAACAGCAAACAGATTAATGATCCCATTTTTATTGATAAACATATGCTTCTCTACTATCAATACCTCACACTATGGCTGTGTCCAGACTCAGGGGTTTTTTCGAACAAAGTAGCCTTTTTTCGAAAAAACTTCACCTGCATCTAGACTGCAGCCGCGTTCTTTCGAAATTAAATCGAAAGAATGTGGCTTTTCTTTCGACGGTGGTAAACCTAATTCCACGAGGAAGAACGCCTTCTTTCGAAAGTGCTCTTTCGAAAGAAGGCGTTCTTGAAAGCAAACAGGCTTTTTAGAAAGAGAGCATCCAGACTCACTGGGTGCTTTCTTTCGAAAAAGCGGCTTGCTTTTTCGAAATTCCGCGTGCAGTCTAAACTTCTCTTTTGAAAGAGACTCTTTCGAAAGAGGCTTGCAGTCTAGACATAGCCTATGAGAAAATATTCAGACATAGCTTAATGCATCCTGGCAATATATGCCTTTCAAGACCTTTAAGAAACAATATATAACACTATACCGCTACCATAGAAGATTGCAAGAGGCAAAATTAATGCTGAATGGGCAAAGTAAGAAAAGTGGGGTGATAGTATGATCACAATGATATGGAAGTGAGGAATTAACTGGGACCCCATTCATTTCTGGACTTTTCCATGTTAGGATTTTAAAATCTTTACTTTCATAATGAAAAGGGATATTTTATGGGGGATGTTAATTAGACTCAACTGAAACTTATTTTCAACCATAACTCTTTTTAACAAAGATTGTTGTGTCGGGGTTATGTTCCTAATATGTATCACTATAAAGTTTTTGTTGGTTATATTTGTCATTATTGATGGCAATGCCCCCCTCAGCATCTCTAACATTGTTGCATAGAATGAATAATAATTGGTTCTATTTCTACATATGTGTGTCATCTTTTCAGCTAACACTTATTAAGAAAGCATGTGCAAAGGAAGCAATGATCATCTTGCAGTAGCTGCAGCTTAGGCTATATAAAAGTATCATTGTCAACACAACTTGCCCTGACGCCTCTAGCAAGTTGTGTTGTGATTAGTCACACAAAAAGGGTCTGTCTGGTTTGAAAAAAAATATCACCAGCAAGTAACTTCCAATCTGTTAACTGCTAAAAAAAAAAGAAAAAAAAAGGAAGAACGAAACTGCTTAATTCAGAATCCATGATGTCTTCTGCTCATTATTTTGTGTACCCAAAAAGAATTCACGAAAGAGCACTCAATGCGATGACAGTATGACAAGGGCCAATTTGTGGATAACTTGTCAACAGCTTGAATGAAACTCTAGAAATCCATAACAGGTGCTCAACAGCTATAATCGAGTGACAGATGGATTAGATATATGAAACCACAACAAACTGACTGAATGGGAGAGGGAATGAGGGTGAGTGTGGGAGAGGTTCATTAACTATGGAAGAGAGAAAAAAATACATGAATTATTAAAGAAGCTGCGTGAGCCAATTTATATGTATGCTTCCTGCTTATCCTCAACATGACTGGGAAGAGGCTCTGCTATGCCAGCTGCATATGTGCAGGAAACAACGCACAACAGCAGCGGTCTCATATCTTAACTGCAGACGGGGCAAGCATCAAAGCGTGGCATATGCTTTTGATTTCAGAAATCATGTTTTATTTCAGTACATTTCTAGAAACTGATTCAGCAATTTACTTAAAATATGTGCCTCGTTGTAAGTCGTCCCACTGAAGCCAGCAAGACTACCCCTCATGCTCAGAATTAGGTGCCTGCCTGTATTTTTAGGGGCCTGCTACCTAAATACTTTGATAAATCTGATTTTTAGGAATTTTTGAAAATGTTACCCAAGTTCTATTAGAACCCTCAACTGGTCTCCCTGCCAAAACAAGATATTTTTTAGTGTTTGGTGTTAACTGTACTAATGGATGAGGTTCCCACCACACACATTTTGGGGACCTTTTCAGTAAAATACATTTCACGGTCAGAAAAATTTCCCCTGATACTTAGTCTAAACTTCCCTTTTCTCAGTTTCCTCCAGGGCACCACATAGTGTAACAACAGAAGCTCAGATCTGCAAAGTCATTCTACCAAAAACACAACGTACTTCAGCAGTTTCCGATCCGGGGGTACATGCTGGGTGAGCTAATATCTTTTACTGTATTAACCTTTATTGTTGAGTGACAAACTTCCAAGGTTACACAGAGCTCTTCTTCACACCTGAAGATGTTACCTCACCCACTTTGTCTTAGTGTTGTGTGTAATTTTGTTTGCTTTTTGAAGTGGCAAACAAATTGTTTCCTAATGATGGGCATGGTTATACCTCTCTGGAAGTGGATTCTGTGAAGTTTTGTGTCTTGCTTAGGCCATGAATAATACACTTGCTGACTGATTATCTGAGTCAAAACAAAAGCTTGTGACAGTTAAACAGTATTTCCATGACTTTTTCTCTTTACCATAATCATCTGGTAAAACAAACTACCATTTACAAATTTTCAGTCCCATCCATGCCTTGTCATGTAATCTCCAGTTTCAGAAATCTGTGATCATAAACTACAGTGGTATTAAAGGAATACAATGGGTTTTGAACTCAGGCCATTGGCTTTGGCTCCCTAGACACAGGTCTTACTAATAAAACAAACAGCTTACTCCAATAATTCTGCTAGACAGATCATAAAGAGTCCTAAGCTTATTCTAGTAGAAGGCAGTGTAGCTTTAAATGTCCTATTATCTTTTAACACAAATGACTGAACTCCTTATAAATATAAGGAGTAAATAACAATCATTTTCTAGTCTGTTCATCTCTTTGTTTATTCACTATACACAATTTTCCATACTTTCTCTTAACTTGTGGCCAAGTTTTAGAACTATTAAGATGTTTGTGACTAATGTAGAAACAGTATGACTGTCCTATGCATGATGGAAACCAGGAGGTCCACTGTAAATGAGGCTACGTCTGCACTGCAGCCTTTTGTCGGCAGAGACAATGCAAGTGAAGTGATCATTAGCATTTGTCATGCTGTCATTTGCATATTATCTGCTGCTGCTTTTTGCAGAAGAGGTTTTTGCGCAAAAACAAGCAGGGTAGACTGGGCCATTTTGCACAAAAAAGCCCTTTTGCGCAAGACCCTGTATATGTCCTTTTTTGAAGCATAAGAGATCTTGTGCAAAAGGGTTTTTTTTTGTGCAAAATGGCCCTCTCTACACTGCTTGTTTTTGCGCAAAAACCTCTTCTGCAAAAAGCAGCAGCAGATAATATGCAAATGACAGCATGACAAATGCTAATGTGAGCACTTCATTTGCATTGTCTCTGCCCACAAAAAGGCTGCAGTGTAGACGTAGCCTGAGTGAGTACCATGTATACAATGAAAAAGGAGGATTGATTAATCTATCTACAAAGAGACTTGTATGGCAATTGTCTGAGTGCTTACTTAATCTCACATAATAGCCATTGGACTTTTTACATTTAATTAATATCTTTCTTATGTAAGGAGCCCAGTTACCTATATGGATAGAAAACAGGATTTGTTTGGTTATAAAGATACTCCTTCATGGATAATTAAGAAAAACATATTTATGACTAATTTTTTCTATATGGTACTACTTGTGAATTTCTTTAGGCTATATTGCGCCCTTTGAATCCACGAATAGAGGGGTCTCCATGTGAATGGAATGCAGATGTGCTCCAGGGAAAGAAGTTACATTTTAGAAATCTGTGGGTTCTACATTACCAAGTATCTCTTTCTAAATTTATTCCAGCTAATTGACACTGCCCTTCCCTCCTGTCAGTCATTTGTTTGTGTGTAGATTTTCTTTGAAGATCAACACCTAGTGTTATCAACACCAAGGCACAAAATGTATTTTTTGTTTCAATTCTAGAAATATATCATTACCTATATTTCAAATATGAAATGACCTTCAGCTTCTGATAATTAAGAAATCAGTCAAGTATGACAGTTCATAGATACAGAATGAGTAAATATTATACAGGTGAAAGACACCTCTGTGCAGAATGCCAGCACGTGTCTGTGCATCACGTAAATCCAACTTAAATCCTGAAACTCCCATAAGTTCAATTTCAGTGGTAGATTGAGTTTGTGCTAATTTGTGCTAGGTGGATCAAAGATCTTGTGCTGGCAAAGGAGAGAATTTCACCTCTACAGAGCAGTGGCCAAGAGGATGAAAGGAATTAAGGAGGGAAAAGTAGTATATTGTAAAATCCTTAGGTCAGGGAGCATCACAGTATTAGATGCTGATACAATGGCTATTACAATGAGATCCTGAGTCCTGACTGGAGCCTGGAGAACCTCCCATCAAAAACAAATAATTATACTAGTAAGGCTATGTGAAATAGTTTGCTAACAGCATCACCCAGAGATGGACCGGTAGTGTAGCATGAGCAATGAAAGTTCATTTAAAATAAAAACACAGACATTTTCATGTTGTAATCTCCTGAAGAATTCAGGAGCCCAGGATGGTACTTTTAAGAGCTTAATTGTTTTTCCCATTGAATTAATGAAGCTTGTTAGCCTGGCAAACTTGAACGTAAAAAAAAAGTCTTGTTTACCATGCAAGTTTCCCAAATTTGCTCTGATCTGATCTGATTTTATATATATAAAATTTTGGCCGAGAAACCTATTTTGTGTATATTAGCCTTGAATCTGGCAAGGCTACCCTGTTTCAGATAAAATAAAAAGCATATGCTGATTGCATGCTTTTGTGACTATGCCTCCTTTGTAATGCACACTGTAATTATCACCATGTAGAGAATTTTTGCCTGCGCGCTCCACAGCTGCTTGTGGGTGAAACAGCAACTATACGTGAGGACACAGATGTTCATCTATTTAACCACTTCTTTGCAATACAGGCCTGAGATAATTGCTTGGATGTCAGTGCTCTTCAAACATCTAATTCAATGCTGAGTTCCTTGTCTTCAGGAAACCAATCAACCTTTGGACTAGCTCATTTTATTAAATAAAAGCAAAACCAGTGAACTGATCTGGTGCAGTTGTGACAACTAGGAGAGATTGTCAGCTCAGTCTTAACCCTGTAAGGAGATTATGTTTGAACATTTCTCATCTCTTCCTAACCTTTCCTGGGAATACCAATAACAGAAGAATAGATATAGAAGAAAGGTGGTGGTGGGATACTCGTTATTGGAACAACATAACTATTATTAGACACCACTTTGAGGGTCATAAAGATCCTAAGTGAATTAATTGATTGCACATACGACTAACACTTTGCATTGCCTTTAAAGCATTTCAAAGTTCTTTACAAACATCAATTGGGCTTACTGCCAGTAGGGTGGTGAGAAGGTATTTTCATTCTCATTTCAAAATTGTGAAACTGGGCCACAGAAGAAGTAAGTGTTAAATTTCCAATCAGGCCTCTCCCAGCTTTCCTCGTGTGTGCATCTGCAACTGCATACACCTGTCTATGTATGTAAATAGAGCAAATGCAAACACCTGCATCCAGTCTTTAAATAGTTAAAACACCCAGTTTTTTATTCCCAAAGTGACAATTTGCACTGACAAACTATTTTGAATTGGGAATGCAGGCTCAGGCACATAGAGCTAAGTATGCAGACCTGTAGCCTCACATCTGAAAACACATTCTTAATGACTTGCCAAAGCTCACATAGAATGCACAGGAGCTAGGAAAATAACACAAGCTTCTTCATTCTAGTCCTGTGCCTTAATCACAAGGCCACCTTCTTTACTATTCTTGTGGCAGGGGTTTTTTTTTTTTTTTTTTTTTTTATTTTTTTTTGAGGGGAAGACATTCTCTTTGGAATTTCTCTATCTGTCCCCTTCAGTCTGAAATTCTCTAAATTATAGCAATCCAGCAGAATCCATGAATACATACCCTGGATCATTAATCCCTAAATACTCCTTAGGAACAACTAGGGAATGTAGAGAAACAATTGCCTTTAACCTAAATACTCCTAGCTGACCAGTTCTTGGGCCATAGATAAAGCTCTCTACCAGCATTTAGCCGGAGACAGTGGGGAGAAAGGTATGTGAATTTCATGCAAAACATTAATCACGTAATTCATTATAACTCTAGCTGCTCATGTTTATGCTTTGGAGGCTACAGTGGTAAGAATATGCATTTCACCCAAACACAGTTGTCTGTGCAGACTAAGTTAAAGCACAGCAAACAATGTCAGGAATCAAATTATCCTTACTCAACAATATGTGTATAAATTGTATAATTTTTTTGTATACTCGGAGGTATTTGTCTCTTTCTCTGGGTATTTCATTCCAGCATTGGAGCAATTTCCCTATTATTAGCATTTAATAATATATATGTGTGGTGAGGAAGGGAGAAAAGGTGGGAGGGAGGATGTACAAACTCTAAGTTAATTTCCAATTCTTACAGACTTTTTCTGGCTACTCATCCACATACAGACTGACAGTTTTGAAAGCCAATTAAATTGCTCTTCTAACGTATACAGAAAAAATCTAAATGACAGAAGCCAAGTCAAGATTTCAGTGGTAAGAATTGAGGAAAAGGAGAAAAGAGAGAAAAAGTTGAAGTTTTGGAGATTAAACAAGTTTGCCCCAGTCAATGCTGTATCCGGCGTAGGGGGCTGCACACTCTAATGCCCATCATCCTTTGTAAATCAAAGTCTTTAAGAAGCCACTTCTCAGTGTTGCTTCTTTAATACACATCTTCTCCTTTGCCCCATGTATATTTAATTTGCTGACTGATAATTGGAAATAGGAGTGGAGGCAGCCTGTGCCATCTGGCTTGTTAATAAGTAGAGGATAAAAATGTCTAATGCCTTGATCTACATACATATAAGAATTACCTCATAACTAAACAACTCCCCAAAACCTCAACCTACCAGAACAAAAGATAGTCTGGGTTTAGCTCATTTGAAAAAAAATATCAATTCTCACAGAGAATACAAATGATTGAGAAAATAGAGGAATAGCTAAAGTTGCTTGAACGACATTTTGGTGGAACAAAAACTAAAATGTGGAAAAATAATGCAAAAATAAATTTATAATGTACTCTTCACACTGAAGCATACCAGGACACTGTACAAATAAGGTAATTAAAATTGCTGCCTTTATATGCCAAAAACTAAGCTGTGTTCAATACA